TGCCGACCATTTATGCTTTCTTGATGAGGACCTCCCTAATACACAGCATCTAGGCCCTTTGCTTTGTGCTGTCTCAGCATCATGCTTGCTGATGGATGCATGATTGCTCGTTAGCATTTTAAGATATTTTAATAAAAATCGTTAGTTTTACAATAGAAATGGGACAGGTTTGATCTGGAATGCCATTTTTTCTCTTTCTGTGCCAGTTCAATCCTTGCTTTAGTAAGAGAGGAATTCTCTTATAGGGGACAGGGAAATATATAAATTGTGCATAGGAAACAGTGAGAATTTTGTGAAGTCTTAGCTTTATCCCTCGCATTTCCATTGCTCTTTGTCTGTGTATCTGTCAGGGCACTGAAAAAGCTTTACTTATATTTAACAATAGACCCTTCACATTTACAAGGAATATAACCAGAGATTTTGGTGAATGCCCAGCTTTTCTTATACCCCTAGAGTGCCAAGCTTCATTACTGGGAGATCAAGTGAACTTAATCACTAGCTAAGTGATTCAAGTGTACAAGTGTGCACATGTGCCTTAGCAAAACGGCTCCCTGTCGTGGAGCTTCAAAGTCACTAGCTGCAATCAGAACTTTCAAAGCCATATCCTGGAATGCAGATGTTTTGGTAAAGGGTTTTAGGCGTATACCCATGCCTCCTCACAAGATTGTAAACTTCTAGGCAATAATAACATGTCTTTTCATTTTCGAATCCTCTAAAAATCCAGAATAGGTTGTTGCTATAGATGTTACTAAAGAGTGAGGAGAGAAGAGAGGAAAATTGTCCCTGTCTCTGTTGTCACACTGTTCAGCTTTGCTGTAGTAAAGTTATTCCTCTTATTTCTTCATGCTTTTGTTTTCTTCATGGAAAGCTCTATTTTCAAATAAAGGAGCATATTTGAATAGATGATGGATAAGTCACTCCTGTTAACTCTACATGGGTTATTTGGTGTGTGCTTTTAAGGCCTGAAGTTCAGCACTTTAAAAAAAATAATCAGTTTATTTGAGAAATTTGAAAAATGTTCTTGCGCTCATTGTTTGCTAGAAAAGTGGCATTTCATGGTGATTTAGTGAAGTCTTTGTCAGGTTCATGGGAAAGTAGTTTTCCGTCTGACCGGGTGTCCTCTCCCTCACCCACGCCCGCAGCAGCTCAAGGCCCCAGCCCAGCTGCCTCTCCCTCCCAGCCACCTGAGAACGAGCTTTCACCACCTGCTCTGTGTTTGCCTCCTTGCCGCCTCTGAGTCTCAGCACAAACCATGTTTCTGTTTGCTGGGCTGTACAGGGAAACAGGATGGGGTGGAGGGTGGGGGAGTGTAATAAAAATAAACACTGGGAAGCTACATGGGTCTCCAGAACTCAGTCACTAAATGCTCCTGGGAGTTAGTCATCCACATGAAAATGGAAATGCAGGTAAAAATGCTGGCCTTGTAGCCTTTTTGAGGCATCTTTCCTGGAGAACCTTTAAATCATACAGGACACGTGTGCTTCCAAGGCACCAAAAATTACTCAAATTAACGCTAGAAAGGAACCTGATAGAAGAATTTTATGGGGTTTCCAGGAGATCTGAACAAGCAGTTGTTGGGGAGAACAGGGAGAGGGGCAGGTCCTGGGGGTTGATTTGAGGTCTAGGGGGAGGACCTGGTTGCCTGGTCCTTCCCCGGCATTCACAACCCACCTCCCCATCACTTTTGTGCTCCAGGTGAGCCTCCCCAGGGATCTTTCGGTTTATCCTCTGAGGTAAAACTTGACCCCAAATTACATTCTTATTATATTTATTCTATTAAGCATCTGGCTGATTGATACTAATTTTATTTGGCTCTCTTATTTCCTTGACTGACAAATTTCAGTCTAGGAAGAATCAGATGAGAAGAGGAGGAGACTTGGAATAAATCATTTAGCACAGGTCTCTTATGGCCATTTTACATTTGGCAGCTCAGAAACTTTTATGAATCTCTCTTTTCAAGGCTCTGTGTTAGATCTTTTAAAGGAAGATACTAATAACTAATATTGAGTAAGTGTTTATACAGCAGTGACCATGCTAAATGATTTTTACATGTTTGAGCTCATCTTAATTCTCTAGCAAGTCTTGAGCTAAGTAACTATAAAAAAACAAAAACCAAACCCATTTCTGTCAAGTCAGTTCCAACTCATGGCAGTCCCGTGTGATACAGAGTAGAACTGCTCCATAAGGTTTTCTTGGCTGTAATCTTTATGGAAGCGGATCGCCAGGCCTTTCTTCCACAGAGCTTCTGGGTAGGTTTGAACTGCCAGCGTTTTGGTTAGTAGTTGAGCACAAACCATGTGTGCCACCCAGGGACCTTCGGTACCTATACTAACAACATTTTCAAAGAAGAAAATAAGACTTGGAAAGTTGAAGTAATTTTTCAAAAAGAGGAGATGATTCAAGTTAATATATGTATAAAATGCAGCAGAGAAAGTGGTGAGAAACAGACTGGACAGGGAGGTGGGGGACAAGGTGGGGCCTGAATGCCTTGTTAAAGATTTGGGGGTAAGTGTCTTGGTAATGAAGACTCACTGAGGTTTTTGGATCATGGGGGTGATACCAGAACCACCCTTTGGAAAAGTTTCTCTGGCAATAATGTGTGGGATGGGAGAGACAAAACGTAAGTAGACCTTTGATGAAGTGCCAAGTCTAGTGAGGACATGAACCAGGGCTGTGGGAAAGGAAGGAATAGGGGGTGGCGTGGTTTTCTTTTAGGGTTCCTGTTAAGGCCCCTCTCTGGGACTTTGTTTTAAACATTCTAACGTTTAAATATTCTAATATGGAGTCCTGCTGATTTGAAGACAACAAAACAATGCTAAATTTTAAAAAGTTAAGATTGAATTACCTTTTCTTGTTAGGAAGCAAAATAATTGAACTCCTGGGAGCCAGAGTCCATCCAGAAAAAGACCCACACATACACTTACATCCCCACACAACTGCAGGCATGTAGAAGTGAAGGATGCAAACACTCATAAGAAGTGTATCTCAACACTGCTTTTCTGTGGCCTCTGATTTCCTTACCGGTACTGGCAACTACTGGTTATACTGTCCACATAAGGTTTGTATCTTTGGGTTCTCTAGACAAACAGATCCAGTAAGATACACATATGTAGAGAGAGAGAGGGAAAGAGAGGGAAGGAGAGAGAGAGAGAGAGAGAGAGAGAGTGATAGATCGATTTTGAGGAAGTAGCACATGTGATTGTGGGGGCTGGCAAATCTAAAACCCATAGGTCAGGTGACAGCTAGAAATTCTGGCAGTCTAGTATCCAAAATGGTAGGTCAGGTGGTGGGAGAGAGAGAGGAATTCTGGCAGGGTGTTTGTTTATAGTCTGGAGGCAGAATCCTTCCTCGGGAAACCTCCAGTTGTTGCTCTTAAGGCCTTCTACTGATTGGATGAGGCCCGCCCACATTATGAAGGCTAATCTGCTTTCCTTAAGGCCAGTTGATTTAAATGTTAATTACATGTAAGTACTTCATAGCAACATCTAGACTAGTGTTTGACCAAAGAACTGGGCACCGTAGCCCAGCCAAGCTGACACATAAAATTAACCATCACAGTGGGGTTACCTGGGATCAGAGAAAGCAGTCCAATTTTTACCTGCCATAGATCTCTTATTCTTGAAGCTTATATTTTATTCCAGAAGAACTTCTGGATGATCCCATTTGAGGCAATATTTATAAGTTATTGGGCTTTCCTGGGTTTGGAACCAAAGTCAGCATTCGTGAGATCTCAACTTCGTCGGGAGAAAGAGAGTGAACTCAGTGCCTCCATGTTGCAGGCACTCTGGAAAGGGAGGCTCCTGCATCATTGGTGCATTTATTTAGCAAATAGTAAATGAATTCTGCCTGTGCCAGGCCCTGGGCTGCACACAGGGGATGCGGTGGTGAATAGGGCACAGTCGTCATGGGTCACAAGCTACCAGGATGGTTGGGACATGCAGGTAAGCTTGTAAGCATGCAAGTCCAAAATGTTGAAGATGTTTCTCAACATTTGATAAGTCCTTTGACCTTGCAAGCTCCTAAAATAAATAAAATTAAAGATCAAAGTGAAAAATTTGAGTTTGAAAGCCTAAGAGACCTTGGGGATTAAGAAAAAAATTGAACTTAAGCCTATGGAACAATAGGCTTAATATAATATGAATTTTTTAATTTGTCTGAGAACTAGAGATATTTCTGTATTAGACTGGGAACTTCAGCGTTGCTGAGATGGACTTTATCCATTAGTTGTATCTTTTATTTCCCTCTGGTTCCTAGTAGTAAACATTCTTAGAATGCTTGTGAGGACTTGCTGCTGTTTTAGAGTTGGTAAAGAAGAGGGCTGAGCCAGGGCTACCCTCTGGATCCTGAATCCACAGGAGGGTGTGGAAGGCGATGCAATCCTGTGTCATGGCGCTGGGCTTCTGGGACCAGGCTGAACCTTATCAGGGACTACATGAGGTCAGCTTCAGGGATGGCAGTGGGATCCTGGGGATACAGGCCAATGTTCTGGGCTTTAAGCCTTATTTTGTCCTAGCAAAAATCCCTGTTTTGCCACTACTAGGCACCTTGTTCTGGAGCCCTGGTGACGCAGTGGTTAAGAGTAGGGCTGTTAACCAAAAGGTTGGCAGTTTGAATCCACCAGCTTCTCCTTGGAAACGCTATGAGGCAGTTCTACTCTGTCCTGTAGGGTCGCTGTGAGTTGGAATCTATTCTACAGCAGTGGGTAGGCACCTTGTTCACCTTGTGGTGCCATAAAAGTCTCCTTTGCTTTATTCCATTGAGGTCAGAGTAACACAGTTCAATTTTCCTGATACCTAATGTGAAATGAAAAGATTGTGTCTGAGGAAGAAATGCATTAATGTGATGTATATGTAAAGAGAGGTGAGATGAGGAGGAGAATGCTTCTTCTCATTCTGTATCATTATAGTTTTGGATTCTACATACATCTATTATCTAGTAAGGATTAGCTAGCTAAAGATTTGAATTTATCCTGGTAAATAATGGTCATTTACCTCTTTCAGCAGATTTCTGCACATGGCGGATCTTCTTCCAATGTAAATGGTGGACCTGAACTTGATCGTTGCATGAGTCCTGAAGGTAGTTTTCAATCTGATGATTTCTTTTATAAAGGAAATCATCCATGTGACCGTGGTGGCCATCCTAAACCCCCTTGTATAAAAGTATGATCTTTTAAACAAGGATATGATCAGGTCACCTATTAGCCTATTGGTTGGTCAGGGTGGGGTCATTTCAAGATATATAAAATCTCACTGTCGTTAATAAGGCTCTCACAATTTCAAATTTCAGATTTGGGCTTTGTATCAGGATTCTCCAGAGAAACAGAACCAATAGGCTATATACATACATATATACATATATGTATATAGAGATAGACTATTTTAAAGTATTGGCTCAAGGAATTGTGACAAGTTTGAAATCTGTAGACTGGCAGGCTGGAAACTTAGGCAAGAGTTGATGTTACAGTCTTGAGGCAGAATGTTTTCCTTCTCTGGGAAACCTCAGTTTTTGCTCTTAAGGACTTGAACTGATTGGATGAAGTCCACCCACATGATGGAAGGTAATCTGCTTTACTTAAAGTTCACAGACTGTAAATGTTAATCACATATAAATACCTGCATAGAACATCTAGAGTAGTGTTTGATCAAACAGCTGGGTACCATAGCCTGAAGTTGACACATAAAATTTTCCACTGCAGGCTTCCTTTATTTTTCTTTAGTAGAACTCTGCTCTTGTATTCTAAATATAGACTTTCCTTTCTTTCAGTTAGATAACAAAAATGTAGTATTTGATGCCTGTTATGTACAAAGCACTAGGGAGACATTGTGGTAAGTGATCATTCTTAACCCCCTTTTTTTGAGAAGGATCTGAGATAGGAATTAGCCTTAACAAGTCATCTTCTCTGGGTAGATTTTTTTTTTTTTACTTGAAAACTTGAGGAGAAAATCATCTTCCAAAGATCAAAATTCCCACTACTACCCTTCCCCCTTTCCCTAGAATTGACAAAAAGACTTCCTTTTATCCAAAACTGATCACTTAGTTCAGCTAATATTTCAGGTATTGGTTAGGTTTATTGATTATTTTGGCTTCTGATTCTAGCCAACAAGGTTAAAAGGAGATTGGCGATTCAGGTGTTCTATTCAGATAACATGCTTAGAGAATTTCTTTTGTTTTGCCACAGCTTTAGAAATAAATACATTGCAGTTTATTATTTTACAAGTATGTAGGAATCAAGATAAAATGCTGATGTTTTCTTTAGACTTTGCATTTATTCTTTTTGCAGGTGTGAATGGAAATAGGTGCTCTGAATCCTCAACTCTTCTTGAGAAGTACAGAATTGGGAAAGTCATTGGTGATGGCAATTTTGCAGTGGTCAAAGAGTGCATAGATAGGTGAGTGGGTAGTGGGGATTATCATTTGTTCACCCACTCGTAACTTTCTCCCTTGGAGTTAGTTCTTATTTTAATGGACCAAAGACCGTCTAGGGTTTTTCAGTGTGTATCATCCCCAAAGGACTAGAAAGGTACATTGTACATGTAAATTCAAAAGAGTCTACCTTGGGACCAGAAGTTTTGCATGTCCCCAAGTCACTTGCCAGGGAAAAATATATGTATACATATATAGTATAAAGCTGTTTTAAATGCATTTGGGTTGAGTTATATCAGGTCTGTCATCAGTGAGCCTGAGAAAAATGGAAAAGAATAAGACTCATAACAAAACCAAAAAACCTTCTATAGTACTTTCTAGTTCTCATTGCTGTACTTGTGTCATCTCATTTAATCTCCAGAATAACCCTTTCAGGTAATATTTAATTGAATATACCAATAGTTCAGAATATATTAACTCTGACTGTAGTTTTGTCTATATTAAAATTACATTTTTGATTGTCTAAAGTCCTAAATTCTCAAATGTTAGGAAATCTATTCATTTAAATTCTAGGCCTTTTGTGAACAATATTAAAACCAAGAAAGACTCAGGATTAGAATTTTTAGGTTCATAGACCACTATCCTACCTGTTCCAAGAGGCAATTTTTGTTGTGAGGTATTTTCTAGAATGTTCTGGAAAATACAATTTTTCCATCTTGTTACATCTCCAGTGATACTTTAATGCTCCTTTTATATTGGTGCACAGGGTAACTCATGGTCCTCTAAGCTCCTTTTACTTAAGCTCTTGTACACAGAATGCCACCCAAGTAACAAAACATCTAAAATATGATTTGTAAAGACTTAACAGAAGTCTGAGACAGGATTTGGTTTACATTTTTAAGGGGAGAGCAATTTAAATAAAAGTAATTCTTCCAATGCCAGAATGCTCCTTAGAAACAAGGACAGCAAGACTTCGTCTCAGGTACTTTTGGACGTGTTATCAGGAGGGGCCAGTCCCCGGAGAAGGACACCATGCTTGGTAAAGTAGAGGGTCAGTGAAAAGGGGGAAGACCTTCAAGGAGGTGGATTGACACAGTGACTACAACAGTGGACTGAAACGTAGCAATGATTGTGAGGATGGCACAGGACAGGGCCATGTTTTGTTCTGTCGTACATGGGGTCGCTTATGTGTCGGAACTGACTCGATAACACCTAACAGTAATAACAACAACAAATTCTTCCAAGCTAGGCCTCATCAGAGTGTGCTATAACATCCTGGGCAAAAATAACTTAATTTGGGAGATGGATGTATTCTCAGAAGGCTGCAGTGTTCTTTTTTGAACTATTTGCCTATACTAAAAACTTTCTTTACCATGTTCAGATGAAATTATGCTAAGGATGATTAAAAATTAGGTAATAGCCAAGATTCTTGTGTCTGAGTAAATGACCTCACTAGTGCCCGATTCAGACACGGTGGCACAAGATCCTAGCTGAATTTTTGGCTGAGAAATAGATAACGGAAGTCTTGGGACTTCTAAGTTTTGAATTATGGGCTAATGTGATTAATGGACTGATGTAAAGACACATTGATAATAGGAATTTTCTGTTACTTTGATCCATTTTTCTTAATTTTATCCTGTCTCCTGAGTGAACTATTTCGAGATTTGAATATGGAAAAACTCTTTCTTGTCCAGTTCTGATACAAAGGAATTTAAATAGTTTAAGTATGTGAGTTACTTTATAATGTTACAGTTACTAATATTTGTAAAAGGAAATATAATTAACATACAGTGTGGCTTAGTTTTACTTTATATTGTTTTTTCCTCTTTTGGTACCTTTCTCCAGACACACCACTCTGATGCACTGGGGAGAAGCCAAGTCTTCATTCCTAGAGTCTGTGCTGCAGAGGAAATTAGGAATGATAATGTCTTTATGAAATGATCTCTGGTGGTACAGTGGTTAAGCACTCGGCTGCTAACCGAAAGGTCAGCAGTTCAAACCCACCAGCCACTCCACTGGAGAAAGATGTGGCAGTCTGCTTCCATAAAGATTACAGCCTAGGAAACGCTATGGGGGCAGTTCTACTCTGCCCTGTAAGATCATTAGGAGTCAAAATCTACTCAGTGGCAATGGGTGACGTATTTATGTTTTTAAATGGCCATTCTCTGATTATTCCGTAGGTCCACTGGAAAGGAGTTTGCCCTGAAGATTATAGACAAAGCAAAATGTTGTGGAAAGGTACAGTATACATAACTACTTTGTAAAACAGACTGAAGTAACTTGGGGAGATGCTTGCTGTGGTGAAGAAATTTAAATGGGGGCTTGACAAGACCAAGCAGGAATAGACCATTGATGATGGTGGGGAAAACACTATCAAGCTTTTTTTTCTTGTCTTTTCCTGATACTTTAATCTTAAAATAGTAAGTTGATTTGATCTTGGTTCTAACTATAGAAAATAAAAGTTCTTGTCTCTGAAAGATGCTTTCTAAAACCCAGCAATACACAAAAGGTGTCAAGATCTGTAAAGGGTCTGAGACTCTACCCTACTTTTAAGCTAACAAGTTAGCCTTCCAGTTTCATAGATGCTGGCTGAAGACACAATACACCTGCGTCAGAGGCAATGGACAGGCAGCCTGAGCTTCATGTTTGCATTGGTTCCCCTTGACCCCCAAGTCCCATGGAGGTGATCAGAGGGGCCCTGGTGGGTGCTGAACACACAGTGGGTTTGTGTCACAGCTGAGGAACCTAAAGCTTAGGAAACCCCCAGTCTTATCAGGGTGCTGCTGGCAAACCTGCCTAATCTTTGCCCCAGAGGAAGATGTCATTATCCTGTTCAGGAAACAGACCTACCTTCCGCTCTGAGAGAGAGACCGTTACTCCGTGTTTGCTACACAAACATCCTTGGAAGATAGTCTGGAACAAAAGCTGATACGTGCAGAAACACCGTGGAAAATTGCCTCCCCAACAAGATGAACTTTTTTCTTCCGTCCTCAAGCTGGGGCAGGGAAAAAATCAGCTGGATGAAATGCTGCTAGGGTACTGCTATTTTGACTCTGTTTGAAAAAATATATAGCAGTGACAACAAAGAGCTTTTTAAATTCCTTTCTGGAGAAGCATAGCAGTTAGAGAGTAGACTGTAGAGCTGCACCGTCAAATATGAGTTACTAGCCACGTGTGGCTACTGAATGCTTGACATGCGACTACTCCAAACTGAGATGTACTTAAGTGTAAAATACACATCAGATTTTGTAGAGTTACTACAAAAAAAAAGTAGCATATCTCATTGATGCCTTTTATATTGATTGCATGTTGAAATGATAATTTGAATATATTTTGTTAAATAAAATATATCAAAACTAATTTTATCTACCTCTTTTTACATTTTTAATGTGGCTATTAGAAAATTTAGAATTACATATATAGATCCCGTTATATTTGTGTGACAGTGATGCTCTAGAGCCTGATTGTATAGAATTTAATCCTAGCTCTCCTTCTTCTTGCTGTGTGACCTTGGGAAAATTATTTAACCCCTTTGTGTCTGCTTTGCTCTCTACAATGGATTTATTAGTTGGGTGTAATAACCTATGACATAAGGTTGTTGTGAGGAATAATTGAATTAACATAGAAAAAGTGCCAGTATATAATAAGACTTTAGCAAATATTAACCATTAACATTATTAGTGTACCAGAGAGATTTAGAGTTTATAATTAGCAGAGTTTGAGGTGATAGTATTGAAAAGAAGAAAACATTGCAATGTAGTGATTTCACATTTCTGGAACACAAAAACTAATGTTCATTGGATATCCAAAAACTTGTATATACTTTAACAGAAAACTTTAAATATTATGGTCTGAGCCCCAGAATGGAAAATCAAAGAGCAAATTTGTCATTTACTTTTTTTCCCATCACACGGATGGCTAATGAAGCAGAGATGGTGCAGAATTCCTCCTTTTCTTGGAATAACTAAAGTTGTTTTTCCTTTAATTTTCTTTACTCAATTCTATGTACTTTTACTTACTGTTCTAGCGATATTATTAAAGTTTTTGAACTGTGGTGGCTTTTTTCCCACCTGTAAAAAGGTGTTGCTCCTTCTATCTGGTGTGGTGTGATTTAATCAGAATGTGTGTTTTATAATTTTGTTTGGGAGCCAAGTTCTGCACCACTGCATTAAAAAAAACTTTTTTAAATAAAAAAAAAATTGCTATGGCAAGAATATTGTTTACCTGATTAAAATATAAGCAGCTGATTCAGCAGTTTAAAGAAAATCTTGTGTGCAAAAAAAATTCAGTCTGGGTACAGTAAGTGCTGAAGCAAATGGAGAGGTGAATTCAAACATTTGGATCTTATTTTCCCTTTGTAAAAACAGCATGGGGGCAGTGTCTGACCTCCTCCAGCCCCACAAGGGGGAAGGAGAACCAGGATCAACAGCGTACCGCTGACTCCCATGGGGAGGAGGCCAGACACGCCTCCTCTCTCTGACATCTTTACCAACTCTGACACCAGCCATCCTTCATGGCATTCTCTACTTTTCTGCTGGGTTCAATAATTCATTGCAGTGGCCACGCAGAACTCACAGACCATACTCACGATCATGGGGTTTATTAGGGAAGTAACAGTAACAGTTGAGGCTCAGGGACACTCAGGATACAGTTCTTCTATCAGGATAGCCTCTCCCCAGCTGTGCTCACAGGCACACCTCTCTCTGGCCCTCAGTCTCTGCCCAAAGGTACTCAGCTTTCTCTCCCCTTGGGCCAGGAAGCCCACTGTGCCACCTTCTGCTGCTGGGTCTCTCCTTTCTTGGTGGTGGTGGGCTCCTCCTCTCTGCTCTGGAATTGCTCTCTTTTAAGGCAAAACTGACCAATCCCCTTGTAGGCCACAATTACCCTATCACACAGTCACCTGGGTGGGAGTTGCAAGACCATGGCTAAAAAGACCACACACAAAATTAATCTACTGCACCCTTGTTATTTAGTAGCATTCTAGTTTTATAAATCATGATCAGATACTAATTTATATACTGACATTTTGCTTATTTGAACAACTGTTTCCAGATTAAGCCAAAAGCATGTTGCCATTGAGTTGATTCTGACCCATGGAGGCCCTATGTGTAACAGAGTAGAACTGCTCCATAGGATTTTCTTGGCTGTGATCTTTATGGAAGCAGTTTGTCAGGCCTTCCTTCCACAGAGCTGCTGGATGGGTTCAAACCACCAATCTTAAGGTTAGTAGATGAGAGCAAACCATTTGTACTGCCCAGAGACCTTTATTTCCACATTAAAAAAATCGAACCAAACCAAACTTGTTGCTGTCGAGTCGATTCCGACTCATAGCGACCCTATAGGACAGAGTAGAACTGCCCTGTAGGGTTTCCAAGGCTGTAATCTTTATGGAAGCAGACTGCCACATCTTTCTGCCCTGGAGTGGCTGGTGAGTTCAAACCACCAACCTTTTGGTTAGCAGCTGAGTACTTAACCATTGCACCACCAGGGCTCCTCTATTTCCACATTGTCTGTATAATTTCAAAACTTGATTTTTTATAGGTAAGTTGATTTTTCACTTTAAATTTAATTTTTAGAAGAAAAATGTTATAGAGAACTTCTAAAAAAAAAAAAGTAAGGGGGGCATTCAGCCACAATTCTGGAGTATTGTGGTCACCTCTGCTTTGTGGGTTGTACACAGAAAATTAATAATGCTGAAAATAATACATACCATTTATTGAAATGCATTCTATATCCAGGCTTGTTCTAGGAACTTTGCACGTAACCTTCCTTGTAAACAGATGTACCAGTTTTACAGATGAGGAAACACAGGCGCAGACTGAATAGCTTTGCAGAAGTTATGCAGAGGAGAGCAGTGATAGAACCTTGGACCACTTGATTACACAGCCCGTACATTGGCCAATCTGCCATGCTCCCTCTCCAAGTTCAATTTATTCGTTTGTGTAATAAGAACCTAGGGGGAAAATTTAACCTCTCATTTCCTTTTCTGTTATATATGTGAACATTATTAGATTAATTCCTCATTCACCTAAAACTTGATGTGTGTATTCTGAGTACAAGACTGTGCTGGAAATAGGTTAATTTGCCATACAAATTAATATTCTCCAAACAAGGTTATGGGAGTTCGGAGGAAGCATATGGGAGAGGAGTATGTGATCTTGAAAATGCAAGAGCATTAGAGTTGGAAGTTGAGTGATGGGTAGGGTTTCAATAGACAGAAATGGAAGAAGAACATTCCAGGTAGCCAGAACAGCATGAGCAAAGCCCAGAGATCAGAAAGCACGCTGAGTTCTAAGGAGACTATTGCAAGATATGCCTTGGGCAAGATTATGGAGGCTGTTGAGGATTCATAACAGATTATGGATTATGGTATTCGTAAATGTGAGAATTCTTCCAGTTCTAATACTCTCTTTCATTCTAAATATGGATTGAACTCCACAGTGTATGAAACCCTTAGCTTTCTACTGTGGTGCTTAGAAGTGGTCCTTGTGCCCCCACCCGCCCTACTCAGTTCTGTATTCATCATCGCCATGTTAAGTGTATTGCATTGGTTTCCTGTGGCTACTGTAACAATTTACCACAAACTGGGTGGCTTGAAACAACAGAAATTTAATTCTCTCACAGTGCTGGATCCCAGAAGTCCAAAATCTAGCAGGGGTTTCTAAAGGCAAATCTGTTTCTTGCCTCTTCCGGCTTCTGGTGGCTGTTGGCATTCCTGGGTTTGTGGCAGTGTCTCTCCAGTCCCTGCCTCTGTCTTCATGGCGCCTTCTTTCTGTGTGTGTGCCTCTCCTCTTCTGTCTGTGTGAAATCGCCTCTGTCCCTGTCTTAAAAGACATTCGTGATGGCATTTAGGGCCCACCTGGATAATCCAGGGTAATCTCCTCATCTCAGAATCCTTAATCCTATCTGCAGAGACCTTTTTTTCCAAAGAAGGTGATACTTATAAATTCCAGGGGTTAGGACTTGATCTCTTTTGGTGGCCGTTAGTCAACCTACTACATATATTTGCACAAAAATCATATATAGGGATCTGAACATTTTACCTCTCTTACTATGCTACTTATCCTCTGCAGTACTCACTAAGCCATATGGATGCAAGCTGTAAAGTCACCCGTGGCCAGGAGCATGATGTGTTTATTCATTCACACAAGTACTTCAGTGCCTACTATGTGTTAGTGACTATGCTAGTTGCTAGATAGTGAGGTAAACAAAAACCTCAAAGAACTCTCAGTTCCAGGGGGTTACATACCAGCTTACAAACAAAGACACTGGGAGGAGAACTGTGACTGTATTGGACCCAGGGACGGTGAGCACGTAAGAGAGGTACCTAGCCCAGCTTAGGGTGAGCAGGGGAGGCTGCTCAGATGCGCTGTAAGCCCGGTGTTGAGTAATAAATAGGAGTTTGCCAAGCAGTGGGAAAAGGTTCCAGGCAGAGAAAACTACCTTTGCAAATGCACAGAGGTCTAGGTGAGAAATTGACAGTAGGAATAGAGAAAAGCAAAGGCTGGATTCAAAGGCTGTTGAGGAGGTAGACTGGCAGGATTGGTGAGTGAGTGGATGCACTAGAGGACTGGGAAGGAGAGAGGAGTCAGGTGGAATTCCTGCTTCTGCTCTGGGCAGCCAGGTTTCATTCACTGAGACAGAGAACTGGCGGGGAGAGGAGTGTTTGGTGGAGCTGAGGAAGGGAAGAGAAAGGCGATTGGTTTGGGAGAGTTGTTTATTCCCCTAATTGGTTTCTCATTTTTTTCCCTTGTGTATTCAAAGTCACCATGGCCAAAGATAAGGCATTATCCTTTGCCAAGTTAGCAATTTTCTTTGTCATTTTCTCTCACACAGAACAGTGGAGCATTGCCATGGAATGATTCATATGTAAATTATTTGGAATTTGAATTGTGAATCGCTTAACATAATGATAGATGACTGAATAATGTAAGTTCATTGTGTCTCAGGATGAAAGTGATATTCATATTGTGTTTAGAAATTTTATTTTCCTGGAAAATGTAATTTCGAGAGCATGTTTACTTATTAGAAACCGACATCATACGTGGGTTGCATGTGAAATAGGAAGATAATATTTGTAAAGGTTTTTATGCAGTCCTTTGTTTTGCTTCTGGTGATGGTTAGTTTAAAAAGTGGATTGTTCCTTCATAGACACTTTTACAGATATAGTCAGAAGTTGAGAAACAAAGACAAACAGCTCCCACATCCCAACAAAGACACTATATACTTAGAAGACCAGCCTTTGTCAAGTAGTGTGCAGTCAACTGCAAGAAGAAGTAATGGTGTAGAGAGTGCTCCTGCAGTGCTCTCTCAGAATCTGAAATGTAGCACTGCAGGTGGCCCTGGGAGAGATTCCACAGTATACACCAGAAGACTTTCCATTGTGCCTTTTATTGAAAAAGTTAATAACTTTGGGGAGGTACTGTCTCCTTACATGGTGGATATCTTATTTTAACTCCAGTCTGAGAGAGCTAGTTCGGGTACTGGTGATAGGGATTATTTTACACATGCCACGCTAAGTTACCATCACACACGGAGGCCTGAATAGAGGTAAATTTATAGACTCTTCCAACTTTGGAGGAAAGGGGGGAAATGAAGTCATGGATATATTTTCTTTAAAATAAAATATCCATTTTGTATTTCATGTTCACCACAGTCGTAATAACTACTGCCGTCTTTCCTTCACACAGGGAGAAATAAATCCACTTACTTGCTTTTACATGTTCATGAAAGTACGTGCAACTCTGCTTTTTGGTATGATTGAGGAAATGCTTGGCACTGGTGATCCAAAAGGTTGAAAATATGTTTACAAGTGTGAAGGGGTTGTCAGGTCTGTCTTTGGTCTCTGTGATCACAAGATGTTGGCTGCATAGCTGCTTCCCTAGGGGAAGAACCAGGGCTCTGTCTGCAGCTTGGTGTTGCTGCTTTGTAGCTTAGACTTACGGGGGTACTTGGGACTCGGAAACAGGTAGGGTCCTGTCCCCAGCCTTCTGGGCTTGGGGTGCGAGGATCTGGGAACAGCCATTCCTCCACTAGATTTGGGGGGGTTTTCTGAGGGCTAAACCAAGTCAAAGACTTTCCCAGTCCTGCTCATTCCAAGGAGCATAGCTTCTCCTTCTTCCACAAGACCTAGCACAGTTCTGCCTTCAACCCCAACTCACTGTGATACTAGCATATGTTCCTGTCTTTTCAGTTAAATATTTTCAGATTTATAGCCATCATTATCTTTTTGAAAAATTTCAACTTGATTTCTATTGAAGCATGGCTCTTTGAAAGGTGATGTTGTGTAGTACAAAAAACTTGCATGTCAGAAATCTAGGTTTGAATTCCTACCTCAAAGGACTGTTTTAAGGATAAAGTGTTAAAACGTCATGGAAGTCCTTTGCCCGGGGACTGACAGAGTGAACAGGCTCATAGTCAGTGTTGGCTCCTCTCTTTCCTCTGCTTCTCTTTGGCATTTGCTCCATCATTTGCCAACATTTACTCAGTGATTACTTAGGTAGGGGAGTCCCTGGGTGGTACACGTGGTTAACACACTCAGCAGCTAAACAAAAGGTTGGGGGGTCAAGTCTACCCAGAGATGCCTCAGAAGAAAGGCCTGGTGGTCTCCTTCTGAAAAATCAGCCATTGAAAACCCTATGGAACACAGTTCTGCTCTGACACACGGGGTTGCAATGAGTTGGAATTGACTGAAGGGTAACTGGTTACTTGGACAGGCACAGTGCATTCAGTGCTCTAGAATCATGACCCACCATGTGCAGGGGCTTTCCGCAGATTTTCTCTGCATGTTATTCATTTGTTATAATTTACGCCTCCATCTCTTGTCAAAAGATTTAAGTTGACTTAGAGTAAAAATACATGTACATATGGATACATGAAGATGAGAGGAACCATAAATGATATCCTGAAGTAGGCCTAAGGTAATCATTTATTGTGGCAGTGCAACAGCAAATTTAGCTCTGAGATTCATGACGGCAAAGGCAAAAAGGGAAATAAGATGGATATACATATGTGTGCATGCATGTGTATGAGATATGTATGTATATAATGTATAAGAGAACAATTAGCAAATTTTAAACTCAGAATGATTCATTATTAAAGTTAATGATGACCAACAAATATGGCATTGTTGAGAGATTTTCATGTTTCATAATAGAGCAACAGTTGTTCACGACTCATGGGTTGGTGTATTGAGAGAAATTACTTAATGCTGTGAGTAAACATTTGCTGCCAAGCTCGTCATAGCTGCATTATTCACCAGGACTGATGATCAGGTGGTGGTTTCAGAGGGGAAGTGATTAGACTGAGAACAGTGGTCCCTGTGGTACTGTGTGTTTCCAGATTTCTGAACTGTAAGATAATAAAGAAGATTCATCTGGTAAATGATTACATCAACAGTCATCGAAGAAGAAAGTTTCATTTTCATGAATTCCAACACAAAATGCAAATTCATATTGGTCATGGTTTAAAAGCTAAAAATATTTTTAATGCCAGAAGTTGTATGCCATAAGCATGCTAAATTTTCTTATATGCCCAATATTTATTTCTGTGCATATATTGAAATTGGAGCCCTTGTGGCATAATGGTTTAAGTGCTCGGCTGCTAACCGAAAGGTTGGCAGTTTGAATCTGCCGGCCGCTCCTTGGAAACGCTGTGAGGCGGTTCCGCTCTGCCCTGTAAATGGTGCACAACAACGACATACTGAAATTACAGAGTGCTGAAAAGCATCACTGAGAAAATAGCTGGTTATGTTGGGGCTTTGTGAGAATACGGGCTTTAGTGTCGCAGCCTTTTAAGGAGTTGGAAGGAATGATAGACAAGAAGGCACTGTGCTCTCTATGCAGGGTGGCACCACAGAGCCCATCTGGGGGTGTTAGAAGGCTGTTTCTTTTTTGTAGTGGCAATGAAATGTTCATTAACTTGTCCTTTCTCTCTGGAAACCAGTATGCTGGGGTTTGCCTTTGATGTGTGCCGAGAGAAATGGCTCCGTTAGCATCTGTCCTGCAGACTGTTTTTGTTGTGTTGTGTTGTTGAGGACAGAGCAGAGAGTGCTGTGATTTCTCATCCACCTCTCTGAACCCTTCGTTCGACAGGAACACCTCATTGAGAATGAAGTGTCAATCCTGCGCCGAGTGAAACATCCAAACATCATCATGCTGGTCGAGGAGATGGAAACAGCTACTGAGCTCTTCCTGGTGATGGAGTTGGTCAAAGTAAGAGGATGGAGGGATTTTCTTGGTGCTGAATCCCCCTATTTACAATATTCCCTTTTTTAAAAAAAAAAAAAACACTTTTTTTTTAATTGTACTTTAGGTGAAGGTTTACAGAACAAATAGTTTATCATTAAACAGTACACATATTGTTTTATGACAACAGTTAACAACCCCACAACATGTCAACACTGTCCCTTCTCAACCTCGGGTTCCCTATCACCAGCTTTCGTGTCCTAGTCCTTGTCCCTGGACTGTTGTGCCCCATTAGTCTCGTTTCCACTTACAATATTCTTGAAGGACCTAATCAGCAAAGTGTTTTGCTCCCTTGTAACTTTCATTACTTGTAATTCATCAATTTTCGTAGCTCTTGTTGTCATTTTTGTATTCTGTCTGGGCTGGTGAACCATCTTCAGTACTTTCATAGGATTGCCACAGTTGTGTTGGTGTGCTCTCTTATGTGTTCTTTAGGGTGGAGATCTCTTTGACGCAATTACCTCCTCAACCAAGTACACGGAGAGAGACGGCAGCGCCATGGTGTACAACCTTGCCAATGCCCTCAGGTATCTTCATGGCCTCAGCATCGTGCACAGAGACATCAAGCCAGAGAACCTCCTGGTACGCCCTCCGGTTTTGTTGGTGGTGTTTTTTTGTTTTTTTTTTTCTGTTCCAACGTGTGCCTCTCATCTTTTTAAAATGATCATAGTCATTTGTAAACAATGAAATGTTAGAGTCTATGCCAGTCCTGCAATCAGGGATTGAGAGAACCTAAATGTAGAAAATCAGCAAGTCTCAAGTCAATGACTATAAAATATGAAAGGTTATTGAACTGATCTGAATTTACTGTTTACCATATCATAGGGTTGCTGTGAGTCGAAATCGACTCAACAGCAATGGGTTTATGTATTAGGTAGCACATTTTTATTTATTTTTGGTTGCTCGGTACTGATAGCTGAAAGGTTGACAGGAAAAGTATTTCATGGTACCATAAAAAACCTCTGGAGAATAAATTGGAGACAGAATCAGAGGCTCGTAGGAGACAGAAGTGGAACATAGGGGTTCATTTATGTGCAGGACAGAATTTTTGAGATAATCTGGTCCGCTCATCTCAGTTGTGGTGTTGTTGTTGTTAGCTGCCATCGAGTTGGCCCCTGGCTGGTGGCCACCCCATGGGTGACAGAGTAAATCCTGTTCCATAGGGTTTCCTTGGCTGTAATCTTTCTGGAAGCAGATAGCCAGACCTTTCTTCATGGAGTTGCTGGGTGGGTTTGAATCACCAACCTTTTGGTTAGCAGCCAGTCACAAACCATTTGCACCACCTAGGCTCCTATCCCAGTTTTACAGATAAGGAAATCGAGACACAGGTATTAATTGTTCTTGCTTGAAAGTCTCAGTTTGCCTACTGTTCTGTCTGTAGAAAGTCTTACTCTACTATAGCACTCAGGGACCTTCGTAATCTGGTCCCAGGTTACCTCTCCAGCCTCCTATCCTGTTACTAACCCTTTCTTCCCATCTAGCCAGCGTGGCACCTTATCTTCAAGCCGTATTTAATTCATCTTCATGTTGTGGCTAGATAACTAAACACCACTTGCTAATTAGGAGCCAGTCCTTGTGACTACAAGATTCTAGAGAAGCCAGTTGGGGAGTTCTTGTCCACCTTCCCACACAAGACAGTTGGCTTCTCTCTTTATACCTTTCAAAGCTGAGTGTCAGCACCGATCATTATAATTATCAATCGTGCTTGGAGGTGAGCTTATTCTAGTCCTTGATAGCATGTTAATCCAAACCCAGGCTTCCCCAGCCGCAGTAGTTAAGACTTGACCTTATCATTAAGCATTACATCTCCATTGCTTATGTCCATACTGGTGTCTGCAGTGCCCTCTCTCCTAGCAACGTGTGGCAGACATGTTCATCTTGTAAGACACTGAGCAAAAATAATTTCTTCTTTAGCATTGAACTCTCCCTGGGCAGAGTTCAGTCATGGCATATGCTGGTTCCTCCTGTACTTGCCACCGTGTTGTGGATTCACGATTTACTTGTCTGTGTCCTTATCTAGATTGTAAGCACCTTAGGGGCAAGGACTATGTCTCAATTATCTTTCTATCCCCAATGCTTTGGCCAGTGCCAAGCAAGCACACAGTAGGTGTGGAGTACATGTCACTAGCTAACCACTGACGGTCAGTCGCTAGCTAGCAGCACACCTGGTGCTGGGACCCACGTATTTACACTCTTCTAATGCTTGCGCCACACAGTTGATTGTTAAAAGGAACATGCATTGATGCACAGGCTTTGAGGTCATCCCAGTATTCGTTGTTTCCCCCTGTGGTAATATCATTTGATGATTTCTGAGTGTCCATTTAAAATGATGTGAGTTTTTTCTTACTGTCTTCTGCCTTGAAGGGATTGTATTTCATTCCTATGTGTTCCTGTTAGGGAAATAAATATCCCTGCTGTGTAATAAAAGATGTATTATGGACTTGGTTTTGTGAACTCTAAGGAGAGTTGTAAAGAGCCTGAGGACTGAAGTACGGATATGGTGTACTCTTCTCAAAGCAGGCTTCTTGCCCATTATAGCCTTGCAGTATCTGGCAGGCCCAGGGCTCCTACACCATCTGGCTGAGTTTGACCAGGAGCTTCACAAGAGCAGGTGAAGCCAAGCAAAGGCGGCAGGCTTTCTCTGGGTCTGGGCAGACACAGCTACCTGCAAAGGTAGTGAGGACACCCCCTTGACTGCTCCCTGCTTGCCACTGCCCACCTCCATGCCAGAGGCTCTGGTTATTTACATTCTCTGTAAATACCGGAGCCACAGGTCCCTGGGGAGCCATTGGTCACTCTGGAGCCAGCCATGCTGCGGCTCTGATTGCTGAGGGCCAGCGAGGAAGGTGGCTGAGGCACTGGGGAACTTCCAGGAAACCAAAAACCAAACCCCGAACCCACTGCCATCGAGTGAATTCCAACTCATAGTGACCCCACAGGGTTTCCAAGGCTGTAAATCTCTACGGAAGCAGACTGCCACGTCTTTCTCCTGCAGCGCCACGGGTGGTTTCAAACCACCATAATGTCACCGTTATGAGAAGTAAAAGTTTAATAGACTTCTCAGTAATGATTTGGGTGGGTATCCAACCCCTGTGGCTTGTTTCCATCCTAGCTGGAGGTGAATGTAAAAGGCACAGTCTGTAGCTGGTGGAATATAGCTCCTTATCCTTTTCTGCACCAGATCTTTTATTACTTAAGTAGCAACTAGCCTTTTCTACCTTTAAAAATTGTGCCAGGTTATATGTGTACACACTTGGAAATGGTGCTGTTTAAAAATATTGTGTATTTATACAGTAATAGAATATGAATTTATTCATCTTACCTAGAACTTTTCTACTTGGCCTTTTCTCTTACCACCCTCCTGTGTCCAGTTATTTAAGAAACATTTGTAATTATTAATATCTAAAGGGAGAAAGGCAAGAGAGCATTAATTCACCTTAAATTGCTCCATTTCAGGGTTCCTAAGTAGTGGAAGAAAGCTCGTTCCAGCTGATGCCTCTCAAACTACATGGAAGGTGAAGTCTCTTGAGCTCTGGGAGGTTAACATAATAACCTGTTCAAGAAGTCTTCACTCTGGGCTGCCTGGCTATAGGCATAGGCAGTCCTCAAACCAGAGTAAGATCTAATTAAAGGAACTAACAGGAGGCTAGAGACAAACACGGCCTCCCTCACATTCCCATTCTTACTGGAAAGACCCTAGTAGTCTTGTTTCTGGAACCCCACCACTTACCCAGGAAATTAAACTTCATTCTTAGGCAAAGTCTCATCCTAATTTGTAAATCCATAATATTGAAGTCCCCACCGTGGCATGTACCAGTATTTGCACTTAAGTTCACGTGGCTACCTACCATCAAGACATGGAGGAAAAATGGTTGTGAACTAAGATGAACCCATTTGAAATGTGCACTCGTCACTACCTGAAAATACCAACAAAAGCCTTAGTCTAGGTACATACAGCTCCCAGTGGGAGGGTTTAGCTGGGGTATTAGGGGTTAGATTGCTTTCAGGTTAAACACTGCCTCCACGCACCCCTGGCGTAACCTAGATGCTCTAGAGTGAATAACAGGGTAGCTATGTGCCTTTGTGGTCAAAGGAAGATGTGTCAGAACTAAGAGGGGTACAGACCGGCACATCTTTTCTTATCCAGGAAAAGAATAATCCAACCCTGCTGGTCTAATCCCAGGCCAGACAACTTCAGATTGAACTGGGCCTTTTTTTTTTTGTATTTAGGTGAAAGTTTACAGCTCAAGTTAGTTTCTTTATACACACATTTATACATACATTGTTATGTGACCCTGGTTGCTCTCCCTATAATGTGACAGCACACTCCTCCTTTCCACCCAGATTTTCCGTGTCCATTCACCCAGCTCCTATTCCTTTCTGCCTTCTCATCTCGCCTCCAGACAGAAGCTACTCATTTAGTCTCCTGTATCTACTTGAACTAAGAAGTACACTTGTCACGAGTATCATTTTATGTCTTAGAGTCCAGTCTGTTCTTTGTCTGAAGAGTTGGCCTCGGGAATGGTTTTAGTTCTGGGTTAACAGATAGTCTGAGGGCCATGTCTTTTGGGGTTCATCCAGTCTCTGTCAGACAGTTAAGTCTGATCTTTTTACTAGAATTTGGTTTCTGCATCCCATGTTTCTCCTGCTCCATCAGGGACTTTCTGTTGTGTTCCCTGTCAGGGCAGTCATTGGTGGTAGCCAGGCACCATCTAGTTCTTCTGGTCTCAGGCTGGTGGAGTCTCTGGTTTATGTGGCCCCTTTTGTCTCTTAGGCTTATATTTTCCTTGTGTCTTTGGTGTTCTTCCTTCTTCTTTGCTCCAGGTGACTTGGGACCAATTGATGCATCTTAGATGGCCACTTGCTAGCTTTTAAGACCCTAGACACCACTCACCAAAGCTGGATGCAGAACATTTTCTTAAAACACTTTGCTATGCCAGTTGACCTAGATGTCGGCTGAAACCATGGTCCCCAGACCCTTGCCCCTGCTACACTGTCCCTTGAAGTGTTTCATTGTATTCAGGAAACTTCTTAGCTTTTGGTTTAGTCCAGTTGTGCTGACTTCCCCTGTGATATGTGTTGTCCTTCCCTTCACCTAAGATAATTCTTCTCTACTATCTAGTTAGTGAATAACCTCTCCCTCCCTCCCCTCATAACCATCAAAGAATGTTTTCTTCTGTGTTTAAACCTTTTCTTGAGTTCTTATAATAGTGGTCTCATATAATATTTGTCCTTTTGTGACTAATTTCACTCACCATAATGCCTTCCAGATTCATCCATGTTATGAGATGTTTCAGGGATTCATCATTGTTCATCGCTGCGTAGTATTCCATTGTGTGAGTATACCATAATTTGTTGATCCATTCATCCGTTGATGGGCACCTACGTTATTTCCACCTTTTTACTATCATGAACAGTGCTACGATGAACGTGAGTGCTTGTATCTATTCGCGTGACGGCTCTTATTTCTCTAGGATGTATTGTAAGGAGTGGGATTGCTCGATTGTATGGTACTTCTATTTCTAGCTTTTTAAGGAAGCACTAACTCGATTTCCAAAGTGGTTGTACCATTTTACATTCCC